CTCACATTACAAGTGTTGCACAAAAACGCAGAAGTTAAACGTGAATTGAGAGCAAACAAGGCTTTTTGCAAGCAGTTCGTATGTAATTCAAGTGTGCAAATCTGAAGCTACATGAACTAGATTGAAGAACCAGCTCTATAAAGAGTTTTATGTGTCTTTCTTTATTTCTAGTTCAATTGTAGTAGGTGTTTTCATATTGTGCTTTTCAGCTTTATTTAGAAGCAATTGTAATAGGTACTTTGAGTATTCAAGTTAGAGTTAACTTGAAGTTGTCGCAACAGTTAGAGGTTGGTTTCTACAATGGGATTAGAGATAATCCTTAGATTTACAAAGAGTTTTGTAAATGTTGTTTTGGCTCAGTGATATAGTGAACTATTGGGGAAAATTCTAGTGAGTTGTAGGTCGTGATTTTTTCACCTTTTGAGCCGAGTGTTTTCCACGTAAAAATACTTGTGTTCTTTGCTTTCTATATTTATTATTACGCAACAGTAGTAGTTGGAACACATATAAGAACCAGGTCCTTCCATAAACAGTTTAAGCGAAAAATTGGTTACCACACAAATCACCCCCCCCCCCCTCCCTCATCTTGTGTGGTATTTGAAGTGTTAAACTTCTTCTTCTCATTAAGGGTTTAATGGGTAAAATAAAATGTTTAAAATTGGAGTATTTTTAATTGTAAAAATATGTTAGTCTTTTTGAAACAGACTAATAAGGAAAATGTACCATCTAATTTAAAACAGAGGGAGTACACATANCTCCTACTACGGTGTTCAGTCTATTTGTAGTGAATTAACTACACCTTTTCATCACCTACAAAAGACATATCTCCCCTGGATCTCGGAGATCCCTCTTTCTCGGGGTATTTCCAAGGTCAAGTATTCCGCTCATTTGCTGTCAGGAATTCAGTAGAGTGCCCTTGAAAGAAGCAAGCCTACTCTTCTTCATGTGTAATGCTTTCTTTAAGGATATCTTTCTTCGTCCCTCAATCCCTAGTTGTACAGGTATAGCCCAGAACTCGAGAGGGCACCTTTGGAGAAGCGTTTGTCGATAACCAAAGTCTCGCTCTGATTATGTCGTGAGGCTGACTGAATCCAAATACGAAAGGAATTAACTGTATTATGTTTGAATAATGCATGTAAAATTCAAAAGAATGACAAAGCTATTAATTGTATTGCATATAATTCTTTCTTGGTTTTTGGTTAATTTTTTTGATCCATTAATTACACATTATTTAGTTATTTAAGTGATCCCTTTGGCAACAACTTGCTCATTGTTATTGCTGGAACTGTTGAAAGAGCCCCCACTCTGTAATTTTACAATTTGGCAATACACTATACATTTTGATGCACTTGATCAGATCTGTATTATGTGAAAAATTAAACCAGCTTGTAGTTTAAGACAAACTGTACTTAATTTCATAGAGCTCCAATACTTAAAATATTATTTTTATTTTATTCTACCACTTTCTTATGCTTTCCTGAGCCGAGGGTCTATTGGAAACAACTTCTCTATCTTCACAAGGTAGGGGTAAGGTCTACGACACACTACCTTCTCCAGACCCCACGGTGCAGGATAATACTGGGTATGTTGTTGTTGTTATATTTTATTCTACCACTTACTAATGAAATAAAAAAAATATTTCATGTGATAAACCATATTTTAAGTGACAACAGTAACATGCAAATTAAAATATAAATATACAATTTTGATACATGTACAATAACATATAAACTAAAGATTTACTTTATATAACTAATTATATAGTATAAAACTTATATATAACTTATCTACAATTTTGCTACATTATTTTTACCCAATTAAATATAACTACAACAACATACAACTTAAATACAATTTTCATACAAATTTTATACAATATGCCTTTTGTATTTATTTTGTATATGATTTGTATATATTTTGTAAGTGGTGTGTTCTTCTCCCTCTTTGAAATTCCAATCAAAACGTATTAAAACTTCCTTTCTTAAAATAATTTTGATACATATCAACAACTTTATGTAAAAAGATAATATATATAACTTAAATACAAATTTTATACAACGATTCATACATTATACAACTATTTTTCAACTTTCGTACAACATTCAAATAAAAATATATATAACTACAACAGAATACAATTTATATACAATTATAATACAACTTTACTATAATTTCGTAAGTATATTGTATGTCATGTGTCCTTCTTCTTCTTCGAGTTTCAATCTAAAATTCAGCTACAATCAAGTTTAATCTTCACCAAACACCATCAAAATTGAGATATAAACTCCAAGCAATATTCTCAATTGTTTGCAATAACACCCAATACAAATAAATAATGATTTTTGAAAATCCAAATTCGATTTCAAAGCTTCAAAGCTCTTTTATGGCTGTCAATGGTGGAGAGTAAAATACATTCAAAATTTATTGATTGACAATTTCAATTTGAATACCAATTGTGCAACATGAAAGGAAATTGCTAAATTAAAACTCTATAGTAAAACGATTGAAATCCATTGATGAATTCCATTAAAAATATATACAACATGAAAGGATAAAAACTAGAGAATATCAGAGGAAGAAAAATTAGGGAAAGAATAGAGAATGAGAGATAGAGAGACGGAGAGAGAGAGCGCAGGAGAGAGAGAACAGGGATGAGAAATAACTGATTCCTTATTCAATTCCTAATTTAAAGGGATACTTATTTAAAACTAACTAGTATTATCATCCGCGCGAATGCGCGGACACTAACTATGTAATATATTTGAGTTATTTGGATTATATGTAAATAATCTTAAAACTTAAACTTTCTCTATTAAATATAGATAATCATTGGATATTAATTAAGAAACACTACATGAAAAAGATTAACCATTTCTCAAATTTCCTAGATATAATTCTATTTTTATTTTTTGATACCATTCTCGCGGGTGTCATTGGATCCTAAAATTAGCCGGGAAGCAAAATAATAACTCATTTGTATAACAAAACAATCAAAGGTTGAGCTATGAAGGATTCTTTGGATACGACTTGACTCTTTTACTACTACTTGAACTCTTATGTTGTGTGTTGATATCTTTCAAAAATTATTTCTATTTTAAAATTTCAGTTTCTAAAACATTATTTTTAAATAATAATTTATTTTATAATAATGTAAGTGAAAATATTATCCTTAATTCAAAACTAATTTTAGTTGGCTATCTAAGAATTTAAAAAATTGTTTAGCCAGTAATTTTTTTTCTAGTGTGACTCCATTTTGATATTTGACATTAACCATATTAAATATCCGAGTTTTTTGAATGATATGTAAATAACCTTAAAATTTAAACCTTCTAGATAATCGTTAGATATCAGTTACGAAACAGTACATGAAAAAGACTAACATTTTCTCAAATCTCGTAGTGATAATTTTATTTTTGCACCATTCTCATTGGTGTCATTGGAATCTAAAAATAGCCAAAAAGTGAAATAATACTCGTATTTATGCCAAAGCACAAAGGTTGACATNAATTTTTGCTCAGCGTGAAAAGTTATGGGTTCAATTAAACCTGTTGTCAACACTCTACATCTGCATCTGCCTATATATATACAACTTTTTTGTTCTTTGAATCATTAAATGTTAAATTAGTTGATTGTTATTGTATAACATTGCATACATTATTTTGAAATTGCCAAGTAGTTTTTTCTCAACACTATACTTGGCTTAACCTCAATGCAAACTACTCAAATTGCATTTATATTCAAATTCAGATATCATATCAGTTTGTTAGTAATAGTAATTTTTTTAAAACGACACACAATTTAAATTAAAAAAAATCTAAGATATCCTTGTCTTATAGTCTATGTATTTGAGTTGAAAAAATATTTAAAATCGATAATATCAACTTCCAAATTTTTTATACTTAACATAGATGAAACAGAAGAATAAATTCGTTGTCATCTCTTATTTCTGGTTTTTAGATTTTTCAAACATCTTTTCTATATTTATTTTCTTTTATCTTATTTTTTATGTCTTTCTTCTTTTTTTTTACAAAAAATTAATTTATTTCTCTATAAAAAGATGAGTTTAAATAGAAATTGCCTACATAAAACTTTATTTATATTTTTAGTGTTTAGTTGAAATTCTTCCATATTTTTCTTTTGGTTTTATCTAATTAACCTAAATAAGTGCTCGACTTACCACTTAAATTAAAAAATTGAAGAATGTGTAATTTATATATAATTCATATATATATGTGTGTGTGTATGTATGTATGACTAACATAGTCAAATATAAAATAAAGTTATCATATACTATTTGCATTTATTAGCTTGCCACTTGGCTTACCACAATGCAATTATATATGGTAACGTTCTTGCTTTAATATATATATATATATATATATATATAGAGAGAGAGAGAGAGAGAGAGAGAATAAATATAGATTAGATTTGTATATAATTGATAAATTGTATATGGCCATGTAACTAAGTTAAACTTGGTTAGGAAGGGTAATAAAGTTTCATGTGTAGTATAGGAAGGTAAAAATCCCAATAATATAAAACATATTTCTCAGTCATCTTCCTTCATTTGGAATTACTCGTTATATTTTTTGGTCAAATCTTCTTACTAGCTGCTATTACATTGTCGAACTCAGTAGGAAATGCTTGTTAAGGGAGTAAATACAACTTTTAACTAATACTATGTTTAACACTTTGACTTGAGACTACTTCGATTTGCTCCAATTTTAACCTTGTATTGGTCACAAACATTTGAATGTCTTATTAATGACCCTTGTATTAATGGTTCTGCGTAATATTTAAGTACAGATAACCATTGATGCGCTGCATTTTTGCCGAAACAGCAACTACATGACTAATCAATAAGAATACTACTACAATATCCTACGAGGTTTTGCGTTTGAGTCGTTCTATTTTTCAGAAGGATTATTTCAAGCTCACTTTTGATTCAATTAATGAAAGAAGCTATTTTGACAATTAAAGAATCAGATTTTCAAATGAAATGAGTACTTCTATTCTGAGTACATAAGGCGTAATATAACCTTCTCTCTCTATACAAACCTCAATTGAATAATTCAAGGATCATGAACCAAAGTCATTTTCTTTGGTTGGCTCGTGAAAGTATAACAGGACGATGACCATCGGTCCGAGTCATTAGCTAAATTGAGGAGCCTATTCTCTTAACCAACGAGAAATTTTGCTGTGTTCCCTCCAAGAAGCATAAATCGGGAGAACTTTAAACTTGTCACGACAAGCTACACAGAAGGATTCCGAGAAAGTGCGTCTCTTAAAGAAAATGTTGATAAGTGCATCTATCCAAGTACTAGTGAACTATAGGAAAAATAGACGCCATAAGCCCTGAAAAGAAAGTAAAAAAATCTACTCCTTGGGAAATAATGTAATAGCTATTCTTTACCACGCATTAGAGGCAGATATGCCTAGAACGGTGGTCTTCTGAAACCTCGAGATTGTTGAACAATACCCTATATCAACCAAGGACACCCTCTTTTAAACATTCAGCAACCACAAGTTTCAGCTGACACATCTTCTCTCTTGCCACCTACGTGAATGGAAAACTTGCAGTTAGAGCATAAGTAATACTCATTTATCTCCTCCGGAATTGAAAAGGTCAATGAAGTCTCTAGTTATTCTAATGTGACAGAGTGACTCTTTTTATTTTACTGTTCTAGTGGGTAAAGTTCATTTATTTTAATGTGAAAAACATAGTTTCGTAACTTTACTGTTATAATAGGTAAAGTTTAACAAAAATACGTAAAATTAACCTCGTAGCAAATTGACAAGAAAAGGGCAAATTGAAACAGTACACATGATAGGTAATTGAAGCCACTATACAAGTGTATAAGATGTATAATGGAAACCTGATGAGTGATGAGCACCATTCATAGGTAAAGTTTAATGACAATATGTGAAATTAACCTCGTAGCAGATTGACATGAAAACAGCCAATTGAAATAGTACACATTATAGATAATCGAAGCCACAATCCAGGTGTATAAGGTGTATAATGAAAACCTGATGAGTGATGAGTACCATTCATACCACATCCTAGTCGGCAAAGCAGGTGGGGAGGACTTGGCTTTATTTTTCTTTTTTGGTTTAAGGAGGGAGGGGGGAGCAAAGCTAAATGCAAAGCTGCTCTCCAAATTGTGTGTGCAGGATACTTACATGGTGGATCGAATTAATCCTTCTTTCAGCATAATCAAGCTGAGTCTCAATTGCCTCTTCCGCTTCCAAAAGTAGTTTCCTACTTGATGCTTCTACAATATGAAAATCCACAGAAACATCGGAAGTTAGCTTGTACTCATGATTAGAAGGCACAGGTCCATTATATAACTGTAGCACCGCATCAATGTTTGCTGCCACAAAATGTATGAGCAGCAAAAGCATATTGCAGCAACAAGTCATGGGGAATCTAACATATTTGTTTAACTAGCAAAGAAAGAACATGTTATGTCATCAACTACTAGTCTTCTGTCATCTGGAAGATCTAGTATGCAGTAGATGAAATAATATTCAAGATATAGACAATTGCTGGCTCCGACTAAATAATTATACATTAACAAAATCCATAGAAGATCTTATCATACTTCTCTTTTCCACAGTTGCTTTCACTTCAACTTCGTGTGCTTCTAGAGATTCAAGTGTGCTCTTGCAATCCTGGAGATGCTGATTGACCTCTTCTTTGAATCTTTCGTATATGGCATTCAGATGCTGCTGTTTCTCTGTAAGTAATTTCAGAGTAACTTATTTTTCAGACAAGCAAAAGAACCACATAGCTTTGGAGAAGAGGAATCACAGAAAATCCGGGAAAGAAACGTAGAAGAGCCAAATTTCCGTGTGAATTTGCATTTATGGAAGATAGTATTAATTCCACAAGCTCATCATGTTAAGAAAACAAAATTCTGTAGAAGAATAGTACTACTAAAATATGAGACTAGTCATTTTGGGATTTATGGCACGCAAATCTGATGGATCCTTTCAAAGTGGTAGTTAACAACGTAAATACAAAATAAACTTGTGACACAACTCAAACATGCAGAATAGTCCTCAGCCCAAGGGCATCTGGAAGAACAAGTTAGAACATGTTACTGATAGGAAAACGTTTCCATGACATAAACAAATAGAAAGTAGCAGAATTAAGCTGCCTCAGGCACTCAATTTTGAGCAAAATGCTACACCATGTTCAATTAGAACAACAGAACACAGTAGACTCAAGCAAATTGTTAATATTTTCTTAATGTGTTACCTTGAAGCACTTCTTCTACATGCTTTCTCTTTGATTTATTCAGACTGGTTATCTTTCCCCTGGAATAGAGCAGAATCATAGTTAAAGAGACAGACTCTTCCAAATTGTAACTGCCATTTTATGCTCTACTTACATGTCTGCTTTAATCTGAAACTCGGCATTCTGCAACTGCGTATGTATATTCTCCGCAACAGACTCCAGAATCTCAGCAGATCGTTGGTTAGTAACAGACTTCATTTTGCTTCTAACTTTCTCCAACGAGATAGCAAATAAGGTCATGGCACTGCAAAATGATATTGACGCTCAATGAAATGTTGAAAAAGAAAAACTTCTGAAGGATCTTTTAATTCATTTACTCGGGAAATAGAATTCAGTGCTGAAGAAAGCTTTTAATTTTATTTAATCTGAAAATGCAAGAAATACCTAGTTAGCGCATCCTCTTCATTCTGTGCTAAATACCTCTCAAGCTTCCTACAATCAATTCCTGTTGAATTCATGTGGAGGAAAGAGAGAAAGAGAGACGAAGAGACAGTCTTTAGGGAATGATCAACTGGAAAAGAAAGCAATTTTAAAGGAATAAAACGAAGATCCATCAGACAAGTGGAGAACTTTGAACCAATGGACATAAACCTTTAGAAGAGGCTGCAGCAAGATTAACTCCAGAAAGATTAGCATCATCTTTGTTGAAGAGTCTTTTGTTTGGTCGAGGAGCCTCTTGTTCCTTGGTATTACCGATTTCAGGAGACAGTTGTGTCTGTATACCACCTACATAGATATCATAAAGTAATGAGAACAAATGATTTTGCTTCAGTCAAAGCAGGCGCTTGATCAAGAGGTCGCATACTTCTAAGAAAATTCATTCTATGTTAAGACGGCTAGCTCAACAACCTATTTACTAATAAAAGGTCAGTTCGAAGTTCCCACACAGTGCTCCATCAGTCAAGCAGAAAATCAATCAAATAATATTCATTTTGAATGAAGATCAATACTTTGCCATATCACTTTTTCATGTTAACAGGCACCAAGTACTAAATTCTGTCTGCTTTTGGTGAAGAATCTCCAAAATTTCCAGTGGAAAAAGTAACACTCTCTGGATCTTAGAAGTACCTCAAGATACCAAGTTCAATTTTACTGTGCATTTTCTACTTTTTCCTTAAGCAGTTGATGCATAAGAGACATCTATATGCATCTCTTCAATTTCAGCAACAAATAATCATTTCTAAACAAGAGCAGATCACGATAAATGCCGAATGGGTATTAATACTCAAGCAAACTTTTGACTTTATCTTACCTCTCAAACTACACACTCACTCATAATAAGATATAAATTGAATGAACACATAAGAATTTGAAACTCTATCTCATCAACAGCAGTAAGTTACACCAATTACAAAGTTTAGAAGGGAATTTGGTCCCATTAATAATACACAGAAAGAATGACATCACTCCTCCACAGCCAGGCAAAATGTTTACTTGAAGCTCCTGCCTCCATGCACCTTGGCCATCAAATGTGACACATTTCTATATACACGCAAAATCTATTTCAACATTGGGCAAACAACCACCACAAATGGGGAAATCAGATGTAAAAGTCATAGATCAGCAGCAAATGTAATTTATGTCCAGTACGGAACATCTGGAGATCTACGATTACTTTTGAAAGAAACTACAGGAACTGAAAAAGACCACAATGAATAAATATATGGACATGAATCCTAAAGCATCAATTTAACCTTGAATGTTTGAACTGTCTTCAGAGCCCTCAGCATCACTTTCCATGGATGACGGTCTAGAAAACCTAAGCTGTGTATCTTCTTCCTTGATAGGCCTTGATTCAGAAAAAGGAGAACTTCCCAATTTCCCTGCATCATCCTGTACATTCGATAAGGAAAAGCAAGAACTCATTACTATAATACTATGACAATCATCACTAGATTACAACTGTTGAGTCAACAGAAGAAGGATACAGATGACTCATCCAATGCATTGGACTTGTATTCTCGTTTAAGTCCATCAAAGCTCTTGACCTTACAAATGCCCTCAGTTTTAGATGTAATATGTTCATGAACATCACCATGTGGTTGCCCCAGATTACTTCTTGGTGCAAATTCAGGAAAAGATTTTCTGCCAGGACCAAATCTCTTGACATTAGAAATTCCCTCAGTTTTAGATGTTATATGTTCATGAACATCACCATGTGGTTGCCCCAGATTACTTCTTGGTGCAAATTCAGGAAAAGATTTTCTGCCAGGACCAAATCTCTTGACATTAGAAATTCCCTCAGTTTTAGATGTTATATGTTCATGAACATCACCAGGTGGTTGCCCCAGATTGCTTCTTAGTGCAAATCCAGGAAAAGATTTTCTGCCAGAATCAGAGCTCTTGACATTAGAAATTCCCTCAGTTTTAGATGTTATATGTTCATGAACATCACCATGTGGTTGCCCCAGATTGCTTCTTGGCGCAAATCCAGGAAAAGATCTTCCGCCAGAATCAGAGCTCTTGACATTAGAGATTCCCTCAGTTTTAGATGTTATATGTTCATGAACATTACCATGCGGTTGCCCCTGATCGCTTCTTGGTGCAAATCCAGGAAACGATTTTCTGCTAGGTGTTTTCATTGCCAAAGTTGGGATTTGTTCGTCAGAGTCCGAATCCAATGCTTTCCTCTTGGATTTATCTGCTGAGTCTCCATGCTGATCTACATGTTCTTGCAGATTTCTAAGCTGCTCAGTCATCTCTACAACAGGGGATTCTAGGTTATCAGCATTTGGCTGGTCCATCTCGTCTTTTTTCTCCTCAAACAAAGTAGTACCATTACCAGCTGCAACACCAGGAAATACAAATTTCTCAGCAAGTAGTACTCTTTTATGACTATTGCTTGCGTCTTCACCTTTCATTACGTTGTTCTGCTTGCAAATCTTGGATGCATCCATCTGGTGACTCTTCCTCTTGCCTCTCCTTCCATTTTCCATCAACGAGCTATCAGTGCCAGCATCACATAATGTTCTAGACCACCGATCTTTTGAAAGGAAGGGATTTTTCTCTAAGCCATCCTCCTTACATGCCGGTGGCCTTTTTCTACTGTATGATTTCAACTTAGCAGGAGCTCTTTTTCGAGCTAAAGAACGAGTAACCGGTCTCCTAATAGCGTACTCATGACTTTGAGTATCACTTTCTATAGTATCTGAATTTTGCCTAGGCTCATCAACATGATATCCTGTGTCTTTGTGCTTTGGGTGAGAGGCGTTTGCATCCTGCTCGAGAACTGGAGAATTTGGACACTGCTTGTTTTGGGAAGAAACATTTCCTAAGATCTCCCAAAGCTTCAACCTTAAAGTTTCACTGCCTGCATTTTCTGGTTTGGCATTTTTTCCTTTGACTTCTTTCTCAGGCAT